TTTTCCCGAATAGGTCCATGAGTGGATCTTAGGTACCATAAGTGGATCTCTTTTACCAGTTTTGCTCTACGGTGTGGTTTTCATTAAAAGTTTACCCCCTCTTTTTACAATTTATTTCGCCCCGTTTCATACTTCCCCGTCATCCGTCGTTTCCGTCCACGATTCCATTGCCCCTTTGTTTTGCCTATTAAGTCAGATTACATTAATAATTATCTATCTATCACTTTATGCTACATTTTGGTTTCCTGTTTAACGCGACGATTCGCTCAATCGGCTAGCTCCGCTCGGTATGTCCTAGACAACGTACAGGACTACATCAAGTTATACACACGCCTTCATGTTTAAGGCGCCTTTTTTTTAAATACTTTTTACAAGGGTGTCCGCGCTAATTCTTTGAAAGAATGCGGGATCCCTCACTTTTTCTCTGTTGAAGGTGGAATCGAGTCGGAGTGCATAGCGAGCAATTCGATAAGGGGAGTGATTGGGCGGAACGTAAGGAACGTAAAAGTAGAGTGTGTCAAATCCAATTAATCCTTTTGTTGATTAAATGCTTCTTGATATACGTTACTGTACAGAAGTTGATTGACAGATTGCAAACGGACGCGATAACAGGTTCTTATTGCATAATTCGTATTACAGTCTGCCATTGGGTCCCTCTTGCCACACGATCTCTCTCTCTCTCTCTCTCTCTCTCTCTCTCTCTCTCTCTCTCTCTCTCTGTTCCCCCTCTCTCCCCTTGCTCGTTCCACCTTTCACAAAAATAACCTATATTTTTATTTCTTTTGCCTAACTAATAATGTACACGATATTTTCTTTTTACTTATATATGTTCTTTTTCATGTCGTTTCTTAAAAGCTAACTCTGTTTCTCTTTTTCACGCACAGTGCTTTGTTTTACGCACGACGATTGAAAATAACAGCCCTCGCCGCCGCTGCGCGCAAATATATATATTTATATATATAATATATATATGCATTTTTGTATTTATATGTATGTATGTATATTTATTTATAATTTTGTTGCTTTCTCTTTGCATACTCGTGCCGTGTCCTCGAGGCTAGTCACCCAATTTCTATTAGAAAACGAGATTCGGTTATATAAAGCATAACGATTTCGTTTTAAGCTAGAATTTTAAATAATATGAAAATTTTGCAAATCGCGATTGTAACCTGCATTTTATTGTAAATATATTTACACTCTGATATTTTTAATTTCCTTACGTCTTGTTAGATATTGACATTATTATATAAAGATAAACAATGAAAGAATAATATTTAATTATAATGATATAGACAAAATTTTTTCAAGGTGCAGGCTACGACAGAACTGAATCAAAAGATGATTAAAATTGATGTTTATCAACATGCAAAAACTGCAAGAAATAATTGTGGTCGCGTTTACATCACGTGCGATCGTGCATGATAATTCATATATTGTACTAAACTAAAGACATAATAAAATTTAGAATAAGCTAAATGCATTCAATAAGAAAATTATGTGCAGATTAATTAAACATACGTATGAATAAATATATTTCTAAGAACATATATACCAGCAACAACACAAATTAGAAATAAATCTGATAATATATCTTTTAATGATCTTCGCTTAACGTACAAAACAGAACTTAGATACAACAATTCAGAACGATTCTTTTTTACATTTTTTTATAAAGCTGCAAATCAAATAAGAGCAAGGCGACAAAAATACAGCCAATATAGCGATAACACTATTATCCTTAATTTTGGTTATGTATAAATTACTATATCAGAATCATTCATCGCGATTGAAAACGCTGAAATGTGGCGATTTTTATTGTCGAGCTTTCCTCTCATGGAAAATCACTCTTTTATCTGGTTGACACAATCGCGACGGATCGTTGGTAAACACATATACACAGATACACAAAACACACACACACACACACACACACACACACACACACACACACACACGTGCGCGCGCGCGCCTCTTTCTCTTTCTCCTCCCTTTCTTCTCTCTCTCTTTCACTTTCTCTCTCTCTCTCTCTCTCTCTCTCTCTCTCTCTCTCGTTCTCACCTTTTCTTTCTCTACTTTCACGAAACATCTAAACTCTATGCGATGTTGGGCAGATTTGATTATACCGTTCTCTACTTCCTTCGCTACTTCCTTTCGAACATTCGTGTGTGCCGTACTTTGATCATTGATCTTTTGATTGAGAAATGTCGAACACGCTTTTGATTTGCTTAAAGCACGATCCGTCTATCTTTTGATTAATATCAAAGTCATCTACCGCTCATCTTATCTCGTTTTTATTTTAATCATCATCGATATATGCTCTCTTCGCCTCTTAATCTAACCGAATTTGTTTCTTTCTCTTCTTGTTTTTGTTTTTTATCATCTCTATCTGTATGAGCACAATTATAGATTAAGTATCCACGAAATATATATTTAAATATGTATAATATATATAATGAAATATGTCATGTATGAAAAAGATATTTAAAAAAGATAAATTATTACTTTATAAAGTTTATAAAGGGTAATGTTTTTGAGCAGTGAGTCTTTTCCAATATAAATAGGAACAATGAATGATATTAAAGACTTATGTTAAATTTTAATTCCATTTTCAAAAGTATTTTATATAAAACAGATAAATTTGTGAGATTTCAGCTTATAATTTTTAGAGTTTTACAGCAAAAGATTCATCGTAAGAATTTTATATAATAATAATTTTATACAATATAATTTAAAAATGTTGACATTTAGATTTTAAAAACAGAAATATTGAACCAAAATTTTTTTGTGATCCTTTGATATTTAAGGTTTAAATTTTACTAGTTTCTATATTTGTCCCGCTTAGTTCTACTCATTGCTTCGATATGAATGCTTTTCGAAGAAAAAGCGAGGTCAAAATATTATCGATATGATGAGTATGAGTTGTAGTACTTTAAAACCGAAGGAATAAGAAGAGGCAGTAGATACGAAGAGTAAGAAACAGGACGATGGAGATACAAACGATCGAGCACAGAAATAACGGAAACGGGTTGCAATAAGTTCCAGCCGCTTCCCATCTTTTCAAGTATTGAAACTCATGCTAGCACCTCGATTCGTTTCTTGTACCACTTCCTTTGATCGATTTTTCTCCAGCAAACGGATAGTCTTAATGGCAGAGGAGCACGTCGATGAGATTATGTACGATCAAGATCCTAAACGGCTGCCGCGCGGACAGGGCACGCGTGAACAAAAAACTTAACTCGTCTAATCTAACTTTCGTGCTGTTTGTGCAATATGTCTATCTACGAATTACTTAACCCCTTTTTCCTCGTCCCTCGCTTGTGCTGTGCAGTTTATTCGTCGCTCGATCTTTTTCTCATGTTTTCTTTCTCTCCCTCTCATTCTTCTCTTTTCGCTTTCATACTTTCTTTCCCTCCCTCTCTAACGCTCTGCTATATGTACGATTGCACTCATGCAATTGCTTACATGTTTGCGATTTATACGAGTTTCGGTCTCGTCTTTCTTTTGTATCAATTTGGTCAAGTCGAAATTCGGGACAACGAGGATATTGTGATCGTTTTACTGCTCCCCGAATAATTTAAAATACACGCGTGCACGCATCTTTTCTAGCTATCTTCTTCATTTTATTATTATTAATTTTTTTCGTTGTTAAGAATTCGTGTATTCTCTCTCGTTTACGCAGCGAGATTGATTTATAAAGACGGAGGGATCGATGGCTGCCTTTTTTCTTCCTAAGTTTAACATTTTATTGCTTAAACATCAAAATCTCGATATTATTTGGTTGTATATGGTCATCTTATATAAAAATCTCTAACGTTTACTTAAAAACCACGATAATTTGATCGGTTTTGCGTGTTTCGCCACTTTCTCAGTTTGGAACGCTAATTCGTCGATGCCTCCTGTGGCGTGTACATATCTGTTTTATAAAAGTATCCAACAGATCTACGCGTGTCACATCCAAAAGACAAATTTGAATGATAAATACGGATGCTATAAATTGCCTGCAAAGATTTCAGTATGTGAATTATCGTTTGGCCACGAATCCGTTAAATAAATATAATGATCGAGATACAAAGTCTTTTCGCAGTGGCAAATGGGATAAAATCTGTGGATCCAGTAGTAATCATGGTTTTTTTTTAGACGGGCGAGTTGTACAAAGGGGCCAAGATTATTTCATCCCCGTAAAAATGCTGCGCTACTGAATATACACAAGATTCACTTCCTCCTTGCCGCCGAATATCGAATCGACTAACTTTTCGAATAACTTTTAATATAATATGCCTATCTAACTAGCTA